CGATCCACAACTCTAGCTGTATATAAATACATTAATGAAATAGATAAAAAACAGTACGGAGTAGGCATTCTACTAGACATGACGAAGGCATACGATAGGGTGCAACATAACATACTTTTAAAAAAATTGTACCATATTGGAATTTGCGGCCCTGCCCATAAATGGTTTTCATCTTATTTGCGAGATAGAAAACAATTTGTAGAGATAGAACACTTCGATAAAAAGTCCAAAAAATACACACATGTATACTCCGACTGCAGGGTTATAAATGCATCAATACCCCAGGGAAGTGTTGCTGGGTGTTTATTGTTCTTAATTTATATAAACGACTTTCCTAAAATTATTGAGGAGCCATGTGTATTATTTGCAGATGATATATCCATACTAACTTCTTGCGAAGCAAATACCGACATTAATATAAAACTGGACGCGATCCTTGCTAAAACTTCTGACTGGTTAAATGACCATAACCTTGAAATAAACATAGCTAAAACAAAAATAATGACCTTCCACCCGCATCAAAAGAAAGAATTAAAATTGTCAGTAAATTACATGGGCAAAACTTTAGATTGTGTTAAGGAATTTTCTTTATTAGTTATAGTCATAGACACGCATATTAACTGGAAAGCACATGTAAGCAAAATAAAATCTAAATTATCGAGTTTTTCTTATGCACTTCGTGAAGTTAAAAAGACTACTAACGTGGAAACGGCAATTGTAACTTACTACGCATATGCGCATTCTTGGCTGAACTATGGCATCATCTTGTGGGGAAATAGCACAGACGCACCCACTTTATTTACATTGCAGAAAAAACTAATCCGTATTATTGCAAATATAAACAATACCGAAAGCTGTAGACCGTACTTTCAGAAGTTTAAGATAATTCCCCTGCCTTGTTTATACATACTAGAGATATGCAAATTTATAAAGAAAAATAGCCAATTATATACTAAACGAGAGAATTTACATATGAAGTATACCTTGCGATGTAAAAACAAATTAGTACTGCCAACTTCGCGCCTCAAGCTAAACTTAACAAGTACCTTTAACTTTTCTATAATCATATATAACCATTTACCAGAGACATTTAGAAACGAAACTAATGACATTCTATTTATAAAAAAAATAAAACTGTTATTAATCGAGAAGTGCTACTATAGTATTAATGATTATTTAAATGACAATCTTAAGTAAATAGCGACTATCATGTACAAAATTACAATAAAATGATACACATAAATGACAAATACAATTATACATACAAACATACATACATAAATATTATTGGACTTGACATTGAAATTTAACAAACATACATAAATATTATTGAACTTGACATTGAAATTTAACAAATATTATTTTTATTTTATTTTTTGCTAGTGGCCCGCTTATTGATTGATTGTTTGTTTATATAGATGAAATGAATTTTCTTCACTTAAATAATATATGAATTAACTATAGTGACATTCAGTACCTAACTCTTTCAATCTATAAACTAACGTAGAAATTTGAATGTAACTCCTCTCTTCTATCTATCTCTCATTTAGTTGCGTGCCCGACAGGGTCCATAATGATCGTATTTTGTCATATTTAACATCTATTGTACATTGTGGATATGCAATAAAGAATTGAATTGAATTGAATTGAAGGTGGAATAAGAGAGAATAACTCCTCAGAACACTCGCCGTGGTACAGGCGATAGAACGCGCTTAGTGACGCCACGTCACGGCGTAATTGAAGAGGCTCGAGGTGTTTAGTCACCTCCTCATCGCCTATGATGCGGATTGCGCGCTGCTGTAACCTATCCAAAACATCGAGCAAGTACTTAGCGGAGCCATCCCAGAGGTGCGAGCAATATTCCACGCAAGACCGCACCTGCGTCTTATACAACAAGCACAGTTGCTCGGGCGTGAAAAAACGCCGCACCTTGTTCAGTCAGGACTCCGAGTTTGCGTGAGGCTGTTTTTATCACACTTTCGATGTAATTCTTTGGATTTAAGTCACAGCGAATCTCCATACCGAGCATGGTGATACTGCTCTCTAGCTCCAGTATTGTGCCCTGAAGAGAAGGACATAAAAGGAATGGCGACGTTTTTGCCGTGAAAGCACAGACCTGGGTTTTCTTAGCATTGAACTCAACCAAGTTCTTGGTACCCCATACAGAAATGTGGTCCAAAGCTTGATTGAGCTCAATGACAAGATTCTCCCGTTTCTCCCTGGTTACCGCCTGCCCAGCCGCTGCTTGTCCGAGATACCCCGCATGCACTGTACTATCGTCTGCATAGCAATGAATATTGCCAAAAGGAATTAAGTCATTGATATGCAGCAGAAAGAGAGTGGGGGATAGGACGGAGCCCTGGGGAACGCCGGCATTCACTGACATGAACCGCGAACTGCTACCATCCGTAAGGACACGAATTCTACGCTCATGCAGGAAGTCAGCTACCCAAGAACAGAACTGGGCCGGCAGACCGTATGCCGGAAGCTTGGAGAGAAGACTTTTGTGCCAGACCCTGTCGAATGCCTTGGCAATGTCAAGGCTATTAGCCAACGACTCGCCTCGCTTGTCGATAGCCTCACCCCAGATATGAGTCAAGTACGCTAGAAGATCACCCGTCGATCGTTTCGGTCTAAAACCATATTGACGATCATTGATCAGGGAGTGATCCTCTAGGTAGCGGGTCAGATGGTTGTTAAGGACCTTTTCTAGGACTTTACATAATACTGAGGTGACTGCTATTGGCCGGTAGTTAGCCGGGTCTGAGCGATCCCCTTTTTTGGGTACCGGTTGCACGTTAGCATCTCTCCAAGCTTCCGGCACACGCCCCAAAGAATACGAGCACTGGTACAAACGCGTGAGCACGGGAGACAACTCCGCTGCACATTTTTTCAGTACTACTGCTGGGATGCCATCGGGTCCACTAGCTTTCCGGACGTCGAGTGATTGCAATTCGGCACGAACCTCACGCTGCCTGATTTTGATATCCGGCATCGTTGTGCCACAATGAGGTAATGATGGTGGCGGTGCATTGCAATCATCGATTCGGGAGTTAGCCGCAAAGAGTTTTGCCAGTAAATCGGCTTTCTCCTGCGGCTTATGTCCTTCCGTCTGCGCATTTCAGAGGTGGCAGCGAGGGCTGGCAGAAGTTCTTTTGCACGGCCTTGGCCAAACGCCAATAGGTACGGGAGCCCGTAGGATGCGTTATAAGTTCGTGACCAACACGTGCTACGCGCTGGGCGTCCGCTCTGATGTAAGCCTTCTTACAGGCCTTGGAAGCAATATTGTAGGCTGCTTTTAGTGAATTGACCCCGGGATCCTTAATAGCGCGGCCTCTGATCCAAGCACGATATGCCGCTTGCTTACGCGAAGCAGCTTCAGCACAGTCGTGATTGAACCAGAGGTTACGTGTGCCCTTACTGATGAGATTGGAATGAGGAATATAGTATTCCATACCCATTACAATCTCCTCAGTAATAGCAACGGCGCTGGCTGATAGGTCCTTGTCACTGAAGCAGCGCTGCTTCCAAGGGACGGACGCAAAGTAGTCACGCATACCGTCCCATTCTGCCGACCCATAATGCCAAATCCGGCGTTTTACCACCGTTGGACGTGGAGGCTTGGCCTGTGGCGCTTTGGCAGGTATCAGGCAGTGATCTGAAGAGCCCAGGGGGGCTCCTACCACAACCTGATAGCCCTGTGGATGGGTCGTGAGCAGAAGGTCCAGTAATGAAGGCGCTTGACTTGAAATATCTGGAATCCTGGTGGGCTGATCGACCAGTTGTTACAAGTCCTGCGTGAGAGCGAACGCGTGAGCAGAGATCCCTGCATGGTCAGTTTTCGAGGAACTTAACCACAAATTGTGGTGAGCATTAAAGTCCCCCAAAAACACCAATTCTGCATTGGGAAATTGCTCCTGCGCGTCATCTGCTGCCCGACTAAGATGTTCGAAAAGTCGAGTTGTCTCAACATCGCCAGTGTGGGATCTGTAGAGGCACACGTAGACTCTGGCCTGGGGACCAGAATCGACGTGTACCCCCAACATGGAGAAGGAGGGATCTTCCAAGCAGCGAAGACGGCGACAACAAACATCCGCCCGAACATACAGGCATACACCGGCTTTCGCTTTGAAGGACTCTTCAAGCACGTAGCCGGGATAATTAAGGTAGCCTGTGTCAGCAGGCGGAAGTATTTGTGTCTCCGTCAGGAACAACAATGCTGGCCGTGCTGTCTCAAGATGGTGGTGGACAGCATTGAGGTTAGAGTGGAGTCCGCGTATGTTGCAGAACTCGACCTCAAACAGCGTTGAAGACGTGGGGGTGTGCACCGCTGTACGTCCAAACTTTGTTTTGAGAGCTGCCATTATGGAAGTGATAAAGAGAAGCGAGTGGACGTTGTCGCGACAAGACCGGGCAAATTAGGGAGGCATGTTTCCCCGAATAATTGCCTGCAGAGGATATACGCCGACCCGCCGGACGGAAGGGCCCCCGCACCCCCCCGGAAGTGGCCGCCGGGACCCCGCGCCCCGGTCACCAACCGGCACGACGGTCCACCCCGAGATTATGCGTGACATGATGGGGCAGCCTCGCGAACTGGTTAGACAATCGGGCCCCTGTACTGTGCCACGGGCGGCCAGCGGGACAACCGTTTCTACGGGTCTCCCTGGCCGGCGGGTCGATGTAGTCCTCCCGGCATCGGTTCGACGGATGCCTCGCCCTGGACCGAATCCGTCGCCACAACCTACACTCAAGCCCTGGTTGTACGCTGGCTGACCCAGAAACGCGCGAGAAGCACTTCACGGGTTTTCACCATGCGCACGGTGGTAACAAAAAAGGCGGGTGTTGGGCACCCTACCACCAGCAGAGCGGATGGAAGCTCCGATATCCCTTAGTCGCCTCTTACGACACCCACGGGAAGAGAAGGGGCGGTGAGTTGTATTCTTTCTCGCACGGATGAAAAACAAAACATTTCAGTTCTGTAAACATTTTAACTTTTTATTTTGGATAGACAGGATAGGGGTTCCATCTTCCTTTTACCCCTTTATGGTAAACAATATAACGTTAAAAATCAATTATAATCAACAGATAAATTAAAAAAGTTCCTATGATTGAAAGTTCCAATTCGTATGAATTAAATTTTATGAGAGCTTGACTATCACATCTCGCTTATCGACTCGATACGGCGTGATATTAGGTATTGTTGATTAATAAGTTTTGATAAGAATTTTTATATAAATACTACCCGAAATTATGAACCCGGTACAGTTGTCTTCATCCTCTGACAAGATGAGGACTGTCCTTGTACTTGCAGCTGTGGTTGCTCTGGCTTTGGCAGGACCGGCTCCCACCTTTCACAAAGATATCAGCCAAATAAAGGTAGAGAATGGTAAGTGTATCAAATAAAATATAAGTCAAAATAATTAACACCTTTCAAATTTTAATGAATAAAAAAGTCTTATTTCCTATTTGTTTTTTTTCGGAATGTTAGTATATGTTTTGTATTTAATTTTCAGTCGATGCCACTATCGTTGAACATCAGTATAAAGTTTTGGAACTTCTCGATCATGTTAACCAAGTGAACACCGAAGCCACGTACTACAAAGTCGGCAAGGCCTACGACATCCAGGCTCACGTTGATAAATATAAAGTAAGTATAACAAGATCCTAACCATTCTGTTAGTTTTAAATCTTATTTGGATATTTGATCTTAGTAATTTATTTATTTAAACTTTGTTGCCATACATAAGCAAACGGCGGACTTAATACCACAGGCATTCTCTGCCAGACAAGAATTATATATTTATTTATATTTATTACGTGGTATACGGTGGTTAGCCGTCTGTCTTATTCGTAACAGTGATTATTATAAATAACTTATTACAACATTATAATGCATAATATTAAACCATCTATTATTGTTTTAGAAACCTGAAGTGGTGTCAAATTTCTATTCGTTCTACGAGAATGGAATGGTGCCCAAATACTACCAATTCACAATTTTCAACGACAACATGAGAGAGCAAGCTAAGGCCTTGTACGATATGTTCTATTACGCCAAGGACTTTGAAACTTTTTACAAGACGGCCTGCTGGGCACGTGTGCATGTCAACGAGGGACTTTTCCTTTACACTTTCTACGTTGCTGTCGTCCAGCGTGCCGATACCACAGGAGTGGTACTTCCTGCTCCTTATGAAATTTATCCACAATTTTATGCTAGCCTTGAAACGATCAACAAGATATACTATGGTAAGATCCGTGGAGAGCCTTTCGAAGAATACCCCGAATACGGCATCATGAAAGAAGGCAATAACCACTTTTACTACCAAAACTACTCTGACTATTACACTTACGGTGATGAATACAAAATTTCTTACCTCACTGAAGATATCGGCTGGAACGCTCACTACTCTTACTTCCATACTGTAATGCCATTCTGGGAAGATGGTGACAAAGTTGCCCATGGCATCTTTAAAGAACGCCGTGGTGAGGTCTTCTATTATTTCTACCAACAGCTATTAGCTCGCTATTACATGGAGAGACTTTCAAACGGTATGAGTGAGATCCCAACCTTCTCATGGTACCAGCCATTCAAACAAGGATACTGTCCATTCCTGACCAGTCAAATAACACCATTCGCTCAAAGAAGTAACAACTATGTAATGCAGAACAAGTACAGCTTTGAAGATCTCCGTTTCGTCCGTAGCTACGAAGACATGTTCCTGTCATTCCTCGAGCAAGGCCAGTTTACTGCTGTAAGTATCTGTTCTCTAACATTAATCAAATCGATTCTCATTTTTTTTTAATATGTATTTGGTTATTATCGTTTTTTTTAATAATATCAACTTTATTTTATTCCATTACAAACTGGGTGATAACTTAAATAATGCATGACAAAAAACATTAAACACATTTATTTTTACACACTTAAACTTAATATTGTGAAGCGATAAGGCTGTATAGATTTTATAGTCATTTATTAAATGTTTTGGCCAACCAATAAATAATTTTGATGATTTATGATACATCAGATCATTCAAAATTTTCTTTAATTTGAATTTTTTGTCAACAGTATAACAAGCAAATTGATTTCTCAAACTCGAAAGCTATCAACTTTGTGGGTAACTACTGGCAATGCAACCCAGACCTGTACGAGAAGATTTCCCAGCATCGCAACTATTACAACTCCTACGAGATGGCAGCTCGCCGTATCCTTGGTGGTGCTCCGATGAATTTCAAATATGACGAGTAAGTACTATAAACAGATATTGAATAATGAATATAAGTTTTTTTTTGTAAAAGGTTGGCAAACAAGCCTATGACCAGCCTGATGGTAAGCGACCACCATATCCTAAAGACGCTTGCGATACAAAAAATATCACTCGCACCGCTGCCTACCCTGACCCAAACCCTACTCCGTGGAGCCTTGGAACCTTACTCACCGACAGACACACAACACCACCCAAAGGGAGTGTAATTATACTGCAGTCTCCTGTAAGGTTGGGGTTTCTTCTACAGACGGGCGCTCCAATTTGAGCGGAAAATCTGCTATGACTTGAAGTTACTGGAAAACACTACCTCTCTTACTTCTACATTATGATGTTTGTTCTAAGAGAAAAACATATGTTTAGTACTATTTCTAAATTAGATTTTTCTCTTAGAACAAAATATTCAACTCTCTTTAGTTTGTGGAGGAAACCATTGCATAAGATATATCGTGAACTTGAACATATTAAAATTTTCAGGTACGAATTCGTGCCCACTGCCTTGGACTTCTACCAGACTTCCCTTCGTGACCCCGCTTTCTACCAAATCTACAACAAGATCTTCCATTTTATGTCTCAGTACAAGCAGTACTTGCCATCTTATTCTCAAGACGATCTTCACTACGTTGGCGTTAAAGTTAACAAAGTCGAAGTGAGCAAACTCGAGACCTACTTCGACTTCTATGTGTACAACGTATCTAATGCTGTGTATTACCAGAACCAAGAATTGATCTCCGGCTCTGACAAACAATACGCTATTATGCAGCCTCGTTTGAACTGCAATCCTTTCCACATTACGATCAATGTTAAATCTGATGTCGAGGAACAAGCCACTTTCAAGGTGTTCATTGGTCCGAAATATGACAGCTACGACAATGAAATCTCATTTGAAGACAATTATATGAACTTCGTTGAATTGGATTGGTTCTCACAGAAGCTTTCTAAGGGTGAGAATGTAATCGTGCGTAAATCTGATGATTTCTTCTTCTACAAGGACGATTCTATATCTGTTGGTGATATCTACAACCTTTTGGCAAAGAATCAACTGCCTACTGACATGATGTACAACTATGGACACCTTCCTGAGAGGCTTATGCTGCCTAGAGGCACAAAGAGTGGATTCCCTCTCCAAGTCTTCGTTGCTGTCTATAAGAGTCAGGGAGTACCCAAGGAGGTAGCAGAAACTATGTTCTTCATGGATGAGAAGCCACTGGGTTACCCACTTGACCGTCCAGTTACCAAGTACTTCTTACAGCCCAATATGTATATCGAGGATGTTTCCGTATACCATAGAGGCAATGAGTACCCGACTTCTTACGATGTTGTCCACCCATATGTAAAATCCGTTTCACACCCGCAATAAATTTATTTGTCAAACATTACAGAAACCTGATTTATTAAACATTACGATGAAATTAAAACATTCATTCCGAGGTGTAACTGTGCCGGTAACCGAACAACTCGAGCTTCTAGGTATAATTCTCAACTCAACTCTCAACAGCGGTACCTACATTGAGTCCAAAGCTCAATTGGCTGCAAAAGAGCTTGGCGTCCTCGCAGAGGTGCGGAAGTACTTTACACCGGAACAGCTGCTCACCGTGTACCAAGCGCAAGTTCGGTCGTGCATGGAGAAACTATTCGCACCCTTGGGATAGTTCTGCTAAATATTAGAGGGAGTCTCTGGAGTGCATTGAGAAGCGTGCAAAGAAGCTCATCGGCAACGATAAATTATTTGAGACTAGACTCCAAAGTCTTGAACACAGGCGAAAAGTTGGCTATTTATCGGTTTTTTACCGGTTACATTTCGGAGAGTGTGCTTTGGAGTTACATAACCTAATTCCACCTTCTTCATTCCTTCCTTTTTACCACAGAACTACCAGAGTGATGGCAAAATGACACAGATATACCGTAGAGGTCCCGTAAACTCGTACAAAACGGTTTGCTTCCACCTATATCGTCAGAACAGCTAGGTTGTGGAACTCATTGCCGGAATCTCTGTTTCCAGTCACCTATAATCTAGGGCTCTTCAAGTTGCGAGTGAATCGGTGTCTTCTAAGCAAGCTCGTCCTACCTTAGGCTGCTACGTCGCTCTACATCAGGCGCGTGGCCGTCAAGCGTAAGCCTATTTAATGTAAAAAAAAAGTATAAAGATATTTTGCCTGATAAATGGTATAATCTTTTATTATCGTCGTTTATTTATTCACCTCTTCAATTAACGGCTGTTACAGATATTTTCATAACGGCGTGTAATATAGATTTTAAGGATTTTCTTTCAGACCTATTTATCTTATCCTCCTTTATTATCTGATAGTTATCTTACCAGCTTATCTGAATATTCTGATTGGTACTTTTTCAGATAGTTAAGAACTATAAAAAGAAAGATCAGTAGAGGTGAATGGATTGAAAAAAGTAGATCGCGCCTTGGATGAGGCTAGTCAGACAATGCTCCGGCTACAAAGAGGACGCATGAAGCATTCTTTTCTTATCTTGAGAGGGAATCATACTTTTACGACGATTGTCAAGAATAATAGTGTTTCATATCCCAATAAATCGCATCTTGCCTATTACCCTTAACCATTTTATCTGATAGGGTAGGGCAAGATGAGTCAATCCCCAAATTTTACTTTTCGATATTGTGCTCGTGTTATGATTAAAATTACTCGTTTTGGTTTAGTGACATTGAAAATTTATTAATAGTTGATACCATAAAAATTTAAGGCGATTATCAATTTCAATACGATGTGCCTATATTATTATTTTCATCATTGAAATTATGTGATCAGTAATACCGGCCCTTCCCCTAAGTTTAATTGTATTTCGTAATCATTGTATTTTATAAATTTTAGTGTTAATGTATGTATGTATATGGCATGAATGTAGTGTAATTTATTAATAGTTGATACCATAAAAATTTAAGGCAATTATCAATTTCAATACGATGTGCCTATATTATTATTTTCATCATTGAAATTATGTGATCCGTAATACCGGCCCTTCCCCTAAGTTTAATTGTATTTCGTTAGCATTGTATTTTATAATATTAGTGTTTATCTGCTGATATAGTTTTTACATACTATATATATACTTGATACCTAGTGTGTTACAGTTTAATATATACTCGTACACTATAAAATAAAATATTATCGAGACAATTATTGGCGAGTTATTATTTCTAACCCCTTCTAGCGGGAACCGTCACAGCAGGATTATGAATAATCACACTATAATTATAAAGGCGAAAGTTTGTGAGTGTATATGTTTGTTACTACGCCACGTCGAAACGGCTGGAGCGATTTTAATCAAATTTGGTATGGAGTTACCTGACACCCTGGATTAACAAAGGCTACGTTTTACTGCGGGAAAATATCCCTAATAAACCGCGGGTAAAACAGCTAGTATCATTATAAAGAAAGGTTTAATGCACCCACATATCACCAAGATTGTTATGAAAAGAAAACTGACAATATTGTAAATGATGTCTTGAGCACGAAATATGCTTGTCATATAAGTGGGTTTGTTATTTGTAGCCCTAAAACACCTCGAACATGATAACTAGTAACAATAAACACTAAAAATACTAACATATACCTACATACAACTTGTCGTTATGTTTTTGTTTGAAGTTAGTGTGTGTGTGTTGTTTGTGAGTGTATGTGTGCGTATGTGGTGTGTATCTCTATGTGTATTTTGTAGGTTTAAATCATTTTACTTATTATTTTATTATATAAGACAACTTCATATCTAAAACCAAGTAGCGCCACTCATTTAAAACAGTTTTACATTCACGATGTGGTAAACTTATTTATTTATTTATTATAAAGATAATCACAGCTCGATGTATATATCTACATGAAAAATTATTTTGAAAATTTTGGAGGCCAATTAAGAACATCCACTTTGTAACATCGAATCCATCTGAATATGTACCTATGTGCTCAAGGAAAACCAATTTAACATTAACATAAAAATACATGTGTCTACACATAAATATAATTAGGTAATTATACATAAATACATATAAATAAATAAATTATATGATTATATAAATATGAGGGTAATCGTGCATTTAATATAACATAAGGAAAATACAAATTGCAGTTCTAAATTATGAACAAAGAGCAGGAGTCTCTTTGTACTATACTATACTAGTCTCGATTTGTATCTACAACAATGCTAAATGGGGTTAATTTACTATATCTCCAATTAAATTCATACCAACAAATTACAGTCACCGTACAGATGTCCCTTAATATTAGCAAGAAAAAGGTTCTTAGATTCAATAAACAAATCAATATCAATAAATACACACATCAAAAGTGTCTAGGGATCAACATATATTTTTGCAATAACTTTTCTCCTGATTGATATTAATTAAAATTTTCTTTAAGGATTCATCAAATAAAGTGTTTTCGTTTGTCACAGTAACGATAAACCAAGTCACCTTTGCATTAATAAAGAAATTTGCCATTTTCCTAATAAAGGGATTTTTGACATTTGAACCACTAACACAAAAGTTCGAAAAAAAGACTGAAATAACAGTTTTCTCTAAAATTTTATTGGGTAACTTAAACAATTAATAATCCGTATTTCTACCGCGAACACTAACAACACAAGAACATCGGTTTGGCATACTCAAAATGAGTTCATCCAAATCACGCTGTGGAATTTCCGCCCATGTTCGTTGCAACAACAAAAAAAGGTCTTCTTGCGACTGGATACCCTCCATATTCGGCAGAGCTCTTCTCTGTAGCATATCCCATGCATGCTCAATCGGGTTCAAATCTGGCGACTGAGCAGGCCAGGGCAGGACATTGATGTTAGCTGCGGCGAGAGTCTGTCTTACAACTCTTGCGGTGTGCGGTCGTGCATTATCATGCATTAACTGAAATAAGGGACCAATTTGCACTTGTAGAGGAACGATGACGTCTGATACAATCGTCTCAGCATAAATTTGAGCGTTGAGGTTGCCTCTGATCCAAATCAACTCAGTTCTTCCGCCGATCCAAATACCCGCCCATACCATGATGGTTCCACCACTATAAGGATGGACTTCCTGGCAGGATTTTAATCGCTGTTGGCGTCCAGGGGTTCTCCAGTGTCGTATACGTCTTGTATCCGGTCTCATACCAAAACGAGACTCATCAGAAAAGCACACGAAACGCCATTGTTCTTCTGCCCAATTTCTGTGTTCAAGAGCCCATTGATATCGAATCCTACGATTGTGCATTGCTATAGGTGGTACCCGTAGCGGTCTTCGGGAATGAAGGTTCACTTCATGCAAGCGGTTTCTGACTGTTTGGTCGCTAATTAAGTTCCCTGAAGAGTGATGAAGCCTCACGGCTAACATCATGGCGGTTATTGTTGGAGCTCTTCGAGTTAAGATTTGAATGTATCGGTCTTGTCTCCGTGTGGTGCAGCGATACCGTCCTCCATGGCGCTCAGCCACGGTACCAGTGCTTCGGTATCGTGTCCAAAGTCGACTGATAACACTCTGACTTGTATTCAGAGCTAAAGCCACAGTACGTTGCCGGGAACCAGCTTCTATCATTCCCACGGCTCTGAGCATTTCTTCCCTGCTTAAATGACGTCGCCGCTCCATAATAACGTTGGTTTTAATCAGTAGTAGGGAAACAGTAGCACTAATAATGTCTTCAATGCGTTGTATGTTTTTATAGGGAAAATATTGACAGCTGATTTTCATCTTTTACTCGAATTTGATTCACAGTTCCTGATTCAAATTATGAAATGCACCAAAAAGGATCCATATAAATTTATAAAATCATAAATTTATTACAAAGCCACATCTCAATCTCAAGAAATCCGCATAAAAATGCTTGATCCCTAGACACTTTTGATGTGTGTAGCTTATTGAAAATGTGTGGGAGTCTGTTGAAATCACATCATGATGTGGAACATGTAATAATCGGGTGTGTCGCGTACGATTCCGGGGAGCGCTGGGTGAGATCAGCTCAACGAGCTCAGGACCATCCATACGACCACGGAAGACGTCATATAATAGACCCATATCTAGAACCTGTTGACGCTCCTTCAGCGTAAGAAGGTTGTAAGCGCGACATACTTCCTTATAATTGGCACCTAAGTTCACCTTCCTGCACTTAAAGTTAAGATATCTGACAATTTTTTTTGTATGCCTTCGACGCACTTAACGTAGACCGCATAACACGGAGACCAAACAGGCACAGCAAACTCTAATATACTGTGCACATATGCGTAGTAAACCAATTTTAAGGTTAATGGGTTGGAAAAGGGTTGGCAAGTATGCATGACAAAACCCAAGCATCGGTACGCCTTACCTATGACAGTGTCAATGTGAGTTGACATGGTCATTTTACTGTCAAAGCA